CTATCAATCGAAAGGAGACTGCGACCACACCAGAGGCCACAACATCTTGGTCTTCATATATTCAATTACTTATTTTAGTTTATAAGTAGGGGGTTAATGCATCTCATATAACTGATTTACTGATAGTCTCGAAACCTGCTGGGGATCTTGATAAAACCTATGCGAGTTCGAAACTGAAGTCAATCCTGAATGGCAAAACGAGCCAATGTTAAATTCAATTTCAGTGTCATCTTTACTCATATCATTTAGAAAATTCAACTACCAGTCTTCCATCCCCTTAAGCGAAATAGAGTGAATATATCTTTTTTTTATTTTTCTTATTTCAATTTTCAAGCTAACACCTCTCTATTTCCATTCTTCAGCCCTAACGAATTTTCTTTACAGGGTATTTTAGCCTAGAAATAAAGCTCTTATTGCCTTTCTTCACCGGATGCTAAATTATATGCTTGTTTTATGTTTACCCCAAATAATGAGGCAACTTTTTCTATTGATTTTTGGCATTATGAGGAATTGCCCTTCATTTTCTCAGTACAAGAGTTCTTACTTACATTATCGACAAGAATGCCTTTATTTATTCGAGTTTATGTATATCTTTAAACTCTGTCCACATTAACTTCATACGGGCTTTGGCTAACATGTGCTGAATAGTTGTAGACTTCTATTAATTTAGTCACCTTAATGTGGCATCATCTAGCGCCTATAATTTTAGCAAAATCATTCCTCTTGTTTCTTACAGGTAATGGCCAAAATGGGAATATCAACTCTTCAAAGCTACAAAAGTGCTCAGATATTCGAAGCTGTGGGTCTTTCACAGTCGGTTATCGATAAATGCTTTGTTGGGACGGCATCTCGAATAGGAGGGGCTAACTTTGATGTTCTTGCCCATGAAATTATCTTAAGACATCAACTAGCCTACTCTATATCTCCGTCCATCGGGCTGCAGTCTCATCAGTCAGAAGAAAAGATCGGGTTGCCTATCGAAAATCCGGGATTCTACCATTGGCGATCTGGGGGAGAAAACCATATGAATGACCCTGATACTATAGCGTATCTTCAAGTAAGTGGTGACATGATTATTTGTCAGACCTAGCTCTGTTAAGGAAGAAATCTGAATTCATTCATTCTCATGATAATTAATTTTGATACAATGTTATTATTATTATGCCTTGCTGGGCTGATGGGCCAGTCATGCTTATTACGTTACAGGATAGATTTCCATGCCGATAAAAATTATCATATCTACATAAAAATATAGGCCTGAATTCATAACTGGGTTATAGCCTTTAAATTTATTTCAGCCATCTATTTTAGAGATTATTCTTCTACAAGCAGCTTGGTAAATTTATTTATTTAATTTCACGATTTACATTTATATCTTTATTAATAAATAATGGTGATTTTACATCAAGGCAACATTTGATTCCTAAGGCTGAAGTGAAATTATCATTCTTGTTTTACACAAAACTTATCTCATCCAGACTTTTTTTATCTCTTCATAATTGTTTATAAATGGCTTTTGCGATTTTGATGATAATTATCTTTAGAAAGACTAGGAGAAACTGGGTTTCAATTAACCTCCTGAAATAACATTGTTAGGGAGACTTTTATTTCGTATAAAAGTATATGAAGAAGAGATTTGAAGGTCACTCTCAACGTTGTATTGCAGCCGTTTGGCTTTAATACATTGTTCCAGTTGACGCAGTCTACGAGACATCTTTCCTCGCTTCGCATGAAAGCAGACTAAGCTTTCATCCATCTTATTATGGATATCATCAGACCTGGAACTCATTCTTGAAAAGTCTTAGGGTAACACTAGTTCCAGAAGAGTATCCGGCTCTGTCTTACGTATTTTTCGTAAGTAGAGTTTCGATACTACCAGTAAATCAGTAATATGAGATGTATTTGCCCTATTTCGTTTAAAGTGATGAAGGACTGGCAGGAGAATTATCCCACAATGATATGTGTATAGCTGACATTTCCATTGAATTTCACCTAGCCTTGCTTTCCCAAAGGTTTTTCTGATTCAGGGTAGACTGCAGTTTGGACCTCGCAACTCGAAACACCCACAGCAAGAGTAGAATCATGACAGTGAACAATGTGAACTTGACATGTTAACCACTCGGCCACATTTCCATGAGTGACTTTGTGTCACAGGGTAGATGTGAATTTCAAGGAAGACTAGGCCTTTTTTCATATAACATTCTTTGGTGGGATTGTCGATGAAGCAAACGTGTTTTTGACTTTGTATTCGAAACTTGGTCATAATGGTAGGAAGACTTATAAAAGGCACCTTGTCCTGAGTCCATTGTATGCATTTTTATTTCCAAAGTCGGACCGTGGACGTGGAACATTCCCAAACGTTTCGTCGGCATCGTCAGTGAGTATCACAATCCTAAGCACCATACAGCTACTCGTCAAATAGACAAGACAAGTAGGACTAATGGTTTCGTAACTTGATTATCATGCTTAAAAAACTCATATTTCATTATCCCAACAATACTT